CCACAAGGCTCTTCAATGGATAGAGGAGATGAAGGACACAAACGTCAGGATCACGCGATGGTACCTTGCGATCCAGCAATTCCGATTCACCATCAACCACATGCCCAACAAGCATAAATGCACTGCAGACTGTCTCTCTCGCTGTCCCGGTGAGACATCCAAAGAGGGGGAGTGTGTGATGGCTGCAGTGACAGCCACACAGTGGTAATATCCACTAAGTATTAGTGTAGAGGCTTATACATAACACGACATTCACATTTTTCTTTCTTTAAATATAGGATTTAATTTACAGGATAATAAATAACTGGTTTTGGTTTAGAATTAATTCACATACTCGCATAACACTGTCTTCTAAAATATGTGCGCATGTTTTAGTTTATACTGTTATCAGAAATAACAAATATATTTAAAATAATCACTCCAGCTGTTAACACGTTTTTTAAAAGAAAAGAAATAAAAAAATTAGAAAGAATGAAGGCAGAAAGAGGCAAGAAAGCTGATTCAGCTGTTTTTTTGATTTTTCTTTTTCTTTATTTAGCAGCCAAATGAAAGGCTAAAGACACAGACAACGTAAATAAGACAACTGGACTGCATCATCCCATTTCCTGCAAATGTTTGTGAAGAAAATGTTTGTTTCTGTCCTGAACTGAAATTTTAGGGCACAGGAGGAAACAGACAGAACAGAAAACGGTCATTAAGTCCAACAAAAAAAAAACACCTGGTAGAAGTTTGAGGCGCAGTACAGCGAGCTAAACGGACTCTATGAAAAAGACCAAAGAGAAGACAGGACTATACCTTATAAACACACTGAGTCAGTGGGGATGAGATGCAAGACAACTTCTACAGTGGAGTGGGGAAACGGCCAAACTGCACATGCAATACAGTATAAAGAAGACTCACACTAAACATAGCAGAGATAAAAAAAGGACACTGGGACGCGTTGAGTAATAAAAGGATCAAAAACACATATCAAACAGATAAAACTACAGTTTTATGTGAAATTTAAACCGTTTTCAGCAAATCCATGCATGTCCTCACCAGAGATGGGCAGTAATGAGTAAAGTAAGGGATTACTATTGCAAAAACAGTAATTAGATTACCGTTACTTTCCCGTAGGAACGCTGCGTTACTGCGTTACTAAAACCGTGATTTTTTTGCGAGAATTTCTCATGACAG